AAACAGTATATAATATGTGTGGGTAAAATAAATGAGTAAAAGGAAAATTACAGCTAAACCCAAACACAAGAGAAATGTAAAAACAGGCCTCGTCCTTAACGGTAAGAAAATTAAAAAATGTTCTGGTCACTAAGGGGTTAAAAGTGTTTCCAATGCTCACAAATATCTAGGGGCATATGAGTCAGGAAGGGACCATTAGATATAGGTGCCATGACCACTAGACTTACCAGGCATACTTGGGCATCCCCCAATATGGCTTGCAATAACAATACATTTATAAATGTAATAAATAAATAAATAGTAAGGATGCACACCAAGACAGCATTCAATTAATGAAACAGTTGCTGTCTCTAAGCTGTACTACCTGAATGCAATATAATAGCAAGATGTACACAAGCACAACACAGATCATAAAGTTTTTATTTGATTCAAATATAGCTACTCAGTAGTTTTATCAAATAGAAAAGCAAAATGTAGAGAGGGTTCAGAGAAGGGCTACTAAACTGGTTCATGGATTGCGGGATAAAACTTACCAGGAAAGGTTAAAGGATCTTAACATGTATAGCTTGGAGGAAAGACGAGACAGGGGGGATATGATAGAAACATTTAAATATATAAAGGGAATCAACACAGTAAAGGAGGAGACTATATTTAAAAGAAGAAAAACTACCACAACAAGAGGACATAGTCTTAAATTAGAGGGACAAAGGTTTAAAAATAATATCAGGAAGTATTACTTTACTGAGAGGGTAGTGGATGCATGGAATAGCCTTCCAGCTGAAGTGGTAGAGGTTAACACAGTAAAGGAGTTTAAGCATGCGTGGGATAGGCATAAGGCTATCCTAACTATAAGATAAGACTAGGGAGTAATGAAAGTATTTAGAAAATTGGGCAGACTAGATGGGCCGAATGGTTCTTATCTGCCGTCACATTCTATGTTTCTATGTTCTAATCATAATTTATAAACTTTTATTAAAGGAAAATATGTTGCAAAATAATAAACCAAAGGTCGCCGGAGAGAGGGAGGGTGCGCTCCGCCGGCGCATCCATAAGGCTGCACAAGTGGCCGCCTTAGGGCGCACCGGCCCAGCGGGCGCAAAGCCGGAGTGACCGGCAGGAGGTGAGCGCATAGTGTTCCCTCCTGCCAGGCACTCTGTATAGCGTGGCCGAGCGCACCGCGGTATAGGAACTTATGGAACTTATGTTTCCTGTACCCGGGCGGACGGAAATGAAGTGCTCACAGAGAGAGCACTTCCTGTCCGCCGGGTACAGGAAACTGAGCTCGGCGGTGCGCTCGGCCACGTTACAAGGAAGGAGACAAAGTAGGGGGGAGCGGGGGGAGAGAAAACTGAGGAGGTAAAAGTGGGGGGAGGGAGGTATGGGGGGAAAACTGAGGGAGTTATGGGGGGGAGAAAACTGAGGGAGTTATGGGGGGGAAGAAAACTGAGGGAGGTATGGGGGAAACTGAGGGAGAGATGGGGGAACTGAGGGAGAGATGGGGGGAGAAAACAGTGTGGGATGGGAGAAAAAAAAAAGAGGGAGGGATGGGGGGAAAGAAAACAGTGGGGGGGAGAGGGGGGACGACATACACACAGCATCCCTGCCCTACATATAGCACCCCACACAAAGACACACACACATCACCCCACACACACACACACCACCCCCCACACACACACCACCCCACATCACCCCACACAAAAACACACCACTCCACACACATCACCCCACCCACACATCACCCCACCCACACACACATCACTCCACACACACACATCACCCTACACACAAACACATACACTGTACCCCTCAATGCAGTGTGTGTACACTCAGCAGTCTGTGTGTGTGTACACTCAGCAGTCTGTCTCTGTGTGTACACTCAGCAGTCTGTCTGTGTATGTACACTCAGCAGTCTGTGTGTGTGTGTGTACTCAGCAGTCTGTGTGTGTGTGTGTATTTAGTAGTCTGTGTGTGTGTTTGTGTGTGTGTGTATTTAGCAGTCTGTGTGTGTGTGTGTACTCGGCAGTCTGTGTGTGTATTTAGCAGACTGTGTACTCAGCAGTCTGTGTGTGTATTCAGCAGTCTGTTAAATACAGACAGACTGATAAGTACACAGACAGACTGCTAAATACACACAGACAAACTGCTAAATACACATACAGACAGACTGCCGAGCACACACACAAACTGCTTAATACACACACAGAGATGTTAATTAGTTTGGACAACTGTATGAGTTGTTTTTTCTAAACTTAAACCTCAGTATTCAGGTTTAATTGCCGTTTTGGCACTTTGAGGGAAAAAAAATTGTCATGTATTACGGTTTGGGCACTCGGGCTCAAAAAGGTTCGCCATCACTGACCTAATGCTTTGAGAACAACAACAGGAGTCACTAAACTGTTGGGCTATGGCGCACTCATTATATTGTGACTTTTTTGCTTTAAAGGAAAACTGTCATATTTTATAACAGAAAATATTACATGTAACACAACTCATCTGAGAATTATAATGTAACCTGTTCAGTGCATTACCTTCCTTACCATTGATTCAATGGGGAAAACTTATTTAGCCTTCTTGGTAAGAAGCACCACTCATTTGCTAAGATTATGCATAATTTGAATGTATGAAACCTATGAAACCACCTCAGAGTGCCTTTTTTTTTTTTTAGATAAACAGTGACTGTGAATGTGTTAGGATTTGCATACACACTCTAGCTTACTAGCTCTAGATTATCTGCAAGGTTTTTGGACAGATAAGAAGATGTGCCTCTGACCACTGAGGACATTAAGCAACACCTTGGACACTGTAACCACTTCATCTCATTGAAGTGGTATTAGTGTCTACAATTCCCTGAACCCATCCTTTCATTCAGGGTTAAACTGTTTGTAATGTTTAAATGCTAATGCCTCTCTGTGCTGCTCAGGCTAACGAGGAAGCATGCAATAGGTGGTGGTATAATTGGCTGCAAGTGTCAGCTGACCAATTTTAGTCTATGATAGCCACCTATTGCTGGTATTAATTAGTATGGCTATGGAAGCCATACCTCTAGTAGTGGCAGGCATGTGGTCAGCCAGGGACCCTCTTTAGTGTTAAACTGCTGGAAATATTTTAGCACTTAATGGAGGTACAGTGCCATCAAACTCCATGCACTAACACCACGTGTATGCAATTAAATGATGGCACTCCCAATGTAATGCTAAAATGTTGCGCCTAGACCAAATTTTCATTCATACGGTCAACTCGAAAAAAATGTCCAATCTTACCATAGCTTGGTCACACGTTGGTTTAGCCGAAATTTGGAGAAAACATTTTTGGCACAGAATTTCAGCTGCCCAGCAGCAGTAGTAGCCATCATGCAAACATTCATACAAAAAGTACAAAAGTTGTTCAACATTAGTAACTTAGATCCAGAGAGATTATCTGAGATGAGCTGCTGTACTTATAGGTTACAAGTTCCCTTGTTGTCTCGATGTTCTTCTTTTTATTTCACTTCAACCTCTCTTGTAGTCACTCTGTACCCCTAGTGTTTTCTCCCTGTATCATTTCTGGCCCCATTTATCTTTTCTGAGGCCTCAACTTCATTTGTTGTCCCCATTGTCTCTCACATTCCAACTGTATTGTACCTTCTTCTTGTGGCCCTTGGTTTCTTTTTTCCCCCCACAATCTGAATGGTAGTGAAGAGGTTTATAAATAAGAATAATAAAACTTAGTACTTATTGCTCTGGGCAGTGTGTATCAGAATGTTGCTAATTGTCCCATATGCTGCAAGATACCTACATAATCTCTCTCACAAAGAATTCCTCTTTAAAGGAATGCTAGCAAAGACACTGATGCAGTGAACAAATCAAAGGCATATGATGGAGAATTGTAATTCATTGACTAGTGATTCTGTGAGCACAATTGTCCAACAGAACAAAAGAGATAAAGAGTCAGAGGGGTGCAGTCACACTTTTTTACTATGGAATGGATTACAGCAGAAATCAGTGAAAAACGGATGCTTAAATGCTAAACTGGAAATTTAATTTAAAAAGGAATTGCAAAGCTTTGGCCACTAAAATTTTTTTTTATCTGAAACAAAAAAACTGGAAAAAAATTATTTGGGGATTTGACCTAAAATCTCCAAAAGCCATAATTTTGTGAAATATCTCATGTAATTGAACGCACAATTAAATAACTCACCCACTGGTACTAGCCCATATGGCATGAGACATGTGGACACTGTGTATTGGAATTCCTTTTATGCAACTGAAGTGAGGCCTTCAATTGTTTGAGGGTCAAGAGGTGAATGCAGCATTGGGTGCTATTTAAAGTGTCTGCATGAATTTGCATAAGACTGTTTTAGGGCCTGTCTTAAGAATTCATGTCTGCAGTAAGAGACCCAGCGACTGGGTAACCAAAGCACCTGATATCATGCTGTGAGTTTTCTAGTTCCTGAATTCAGCCTGACAGCCCAATGACCAACTTAAAACATGCTGACATCAGTGTGAGGTCCTACTAGGCGGTGTTGTTCAGTGTCTTACTCTTCCTTGTACCTGGTTACTTTGCAAGCAGTGGCGCAGCGCTGACTGGGCTCGTCACTCCAGGGTTCCGAGCTGTCCTGTGAAACCCTGCGACCAGGGGGGCCCGCCATCCATGTGGTCTGTTCTTGACAGTTGTACATTAAGGGGCCCATGGGCAAAGTATTTCCATGGGCTCGGCCAGTGCTGCAGAGCTTTAACAGCGCGACCGGGTCCCATGTAATGAGGTCAGCATGGGAGGAAGTGACTTCCCTGGTCACTTCCTCACAGCAATTATCGAGTCGCGCGGAAGGAGGAAGAAGAGGAGAAGGAGAGAAGGGAGTAAGATTGGGAACTCCCATCAGCCTGAGACAGCCACTAGACCCCAGGAAAGTCACCCTCCTGCACCTAAAAAGTAGGAAACAGGAGGGTTACTAAACCATTTTGCATGTATGTGTGTTTGTGTATCTGTGTATTTGTGTGTCTGTATGTATGTATGTGTATGTGTCTATGTATGTGTGCTCATCTGTATGCATGTGTGTGCCTGTGTGTGTGTCTTTATCTGTATCTATGTGTGTCACTGTATGTGTGTGTGTTTGTCTGTATGTGTGCCTGTATGTGTTTCTGTTTGTCGGCATGTGCATGTGTGTCTATATGCGTATATGTATGTCTGCATATTTCTATGTCAGTGTGTGCCCTATGTATCTGCTAGGGTAATTTTGCACCGGGCCCCCTTGGTTTCTAGTTACACCTCTGTTCACAAGGCAGGGTTTATAGCAAGGAGGTGTACATAAGACAGAAGGGGGATGCCACAAGAACCAACCATCCAACCATCCTACCCCATCACACACACACACACACAAAAAGCATAAACTTGAAAACATTTTACTAATATGACTGCATGTGCTTTGCTGTTATGTGTGTCATGGCTGGTCATGTCTATATGACATCTCTATGTATTGTAATTAGGTACACAATTATCCAAATTTCACACAATAATTCGGCAAACATTTGTTTCATCTGGGTCATCTGAGAACAGTATTATAGCTTGTAGAATAAACAGCTCAGCGCAGGCGTGTAGCTCTCAGCTTTCCATTTGTCAGTCCTTCTAAAAAAATGCTGAACTGGGTTCCCCAGTATCCCCGAAGGAGCTCCCTCTTCCAACATCTAAATCAAGAAAATAATATTGGTTACCTTCTCCTGAGTCAGAAATAATATTTAAAAAAAACTTGCTCATAGGCTGCCATGTACTTTGCATGCATAAATATGCCCAAAGAAAATAATTTATCATGAAGTTCAACACATGCAAAATTTCAGTAGTTTGCCCTTCAAGAGTTTACCTACTCACATCTCAGATTGGTAAACTGACCCTTTGTGTGAATTGGAGGTACTGTTATTATATGAAACTTTATTTCATATCCCCTTTGTTATATCTCTTTTGTTTGAAAGGTCAAAACTATTCATTAAAAGGCGAGTTACAAAAAAAAAACAACAAAAAAACAACAGATTGAGGCCAGAGAAAACATGGGGCACATATTCAGCCCATGGGCCACCAATTGGACAGCACTGCTACAGAACTTTGTAGGTGGCATGTGAGCAAACTCAAAAATATAAGTAAAAGGTAAACACTATATAATGCTTGTGTTTTTTATTTTTTTTTGTTTTTAAATCCTGGATATAAAGAACATTTCATTACTTAAAAGAAGAGTTGTTTTGCGGAACAAAAGGATGACACATTGTTTTCTTCCTTCTAAACATCATAAAGGAGAATGCACAGTAAGTGATGGCTGAAGCTGCACTGAGCATCGTATGACTGTACTATCTGATCTCATTGTCAGTAAGTCAGAATGTTACGTTCACCGAGCTTGGAAAATCATGTGAGATTCTGGAAAGACACCGCACAAGTGGACTGTTTGCTGAAAATATCAAGTAACCTGTTTTAAGAGGAATCTAGAAAATGCCTTACCAAACATATGAATAAAACATGAGCCTATTTCACGCTCAGGAGGGAGAAGCTCTCTTCTTGTCTTCAAGTACAGTGCTTGCAAGCAATTGTATAAATAATTGCTTCTGCTGGGAATAGCTCCTAGCACCAGAAACCTGAGTCATATACAATTATAACAGCACATGTTGTTTAAGCAGGGATCTGAAGCATGCCAATTTGTGAATTCATTTCTCCAAAACCAAAGCAATACAGCAAGGTACATCAACAACATGTTACAGGAAAATGAACGCTATCACAATGTTTTAAGAAAAGTAGCCTGATCAATGTCAATTAATTACTTAATTCTTGGGAAAAACAAATCAGCGAGTTAGTATTAAAAGAGGATAAAGTGGAGACATTGCATATATTTTATTTTAAAAGAACATTCCAAGAACCATAACCACTTCATTCCGCTGTAGCGATTATTTTACCAGTAGTGCCCTGGTGCTATGAGAGTAATTTGTTTAAACTGTTTTAGAATGGCTTGACATCTTAACTGGGTCCCTGTGCCACATATTGCTTCTCCTGCAGGATATCATCACATAGCTAAGAAGGTTTGATACAGATATTTTCAGCCAATGACAGTAGCCCTGCACGGTCCTGCATAGTGGAGTGTTACAAACGCTGTTATTATAGATACCCGTTTGCCAATTTCCTCCCAATCTGCCGAAGCCTGAGTGATTATAGCTCGCAGTACGGGTGCCGATTTGAACAGTGCCCTGACTAATGCAGCATCCAAGCAGCAAGTAAACAGTTACCCAAACATCAGCCTAGACTAGATGAAGGGTACAACAGAAATGAATTTTAATGGTGCCACACTTGGCTTTTATGCAAGTCCCCATTCAAGGGGCACTCCCATATGGACCTTGTTGGGGACTAAAACAGAAAGTTGCACACCAATGGCAGCAAGGTTGGAAAGTAAGACACTCCTCTACATACCATACAATCCCTCCTCTCTGCCTGGGAGATAATTGAGTCAGATACTGTAATAACTCAATTATCTCCAGGCAGAAAAAACACATTTTCCATAAAACTTCAAAAGTACCCCAAAACACATAAAAATTCCCACAATTGTTACATCTCCTGATAGCCTTGATCTGGGTGACCAACATATCTAAAAATCATCCAGATCAGTTCAGGTGTTTAGGAATGTCATGGAGGTCTTAGTTTGACCGACTGCACATGAGGCTGCTGCCCAGAAATAGTTCCATGAGTTTAGGTTGTGCGGTCGGTCTATTTCAGAAAGTCGAAAAACCGAACAAATCCACAAACAGTACCCCCTGGCTCATAGTAGCGTTTGTTCCCCTAGTTCATGGGAACAAAACTACCGAATAGCACTCTCCGGACTGGTTTGGGAAAGGAAGCAGGCGTTCCCAAAGTTTGACCGGTGTTCGGGAAGTCGAGTGTCCAGTTCCAGACACTCAACTACCAAGTCCCGCTGCCTCCTTTTGTGCGAACAAAATGGCCGCCATTTTCTCCTACACGTGTTGTTCTACTATACGAACGGCGGCCACACAGGAGAGCACTTAATCCACTGTTTCTTTGAAGTTAAATGAGCCAGCGGGGTGGTCGGTGTTCGGTAGTTTTAACTACCGAATGAAAAAAAGTCAAAGTATCGAATAAACAGGGTAGTTTCATCACATGGAGCTAATATTGGCATTAGTTAAGGGTGTTTGGCAACCCAGTCCTTGGTGAAGAGTCCAAAAATGGGGGAGTTACAAAACCCACAATAGCTGAAAAGTTATCATCCTCAAGCTTATGGTAGAAGGTCATGAGGTCACGATTGTACACAGCTTCTTTATGATTGAGAAGAGGAATGTTAAGCACTCTACTTGGCATTAGGATTTACCAATTAACATCTTCTGCATATTCTCCCAATTACATGTGTATTCTCATAATATAAAAAGACAAATACAGTTGGGGTTATTAACATGTTGGGTTTAATGTTACAAACCCCCAAATATTAATACTGATACGAAAGATCAACTGATCTCAAATGTTCTGCTATTTCTTCTGTTGATCTTTAAAAAAAAAAAGGTGAAAATCTCAATTTGAACTTCTTTCAGTTTGTGCCACAATAATAATAAATATTACTTATGGCTGTTTAATTCTCTTCTTTATTGCTGCTGTGCTGTGCATCCTCAATTCCTCTTCAATAAGTCAGCTACCTAATCCTAACAGTGGCCTGTATACCTAGCCTCTTGGCTGCACATCTGGGTAATTAATTAATCATTGGAGATTTTAATTACCCAGAAACTGACTGGGCCAGGGGACTTGCAGTACAGTGAAGGGAAACAGGTTTTTGCAACCTGTTCAATTACACTTTTTAATCTCTGAGCAGTTTGTAGATTGTGGCCAGTTCAGTTATTTACCTACTTCCTCCTTGTCATTGACAGTTCCCTTTCAGACTAGGCAGAGCAACATGAAAATTCTTTACCATGATTCTGTGTGGTAATGGCACAATTGGTGACATGTGGGGGAGGGGATGTTCTGAGACCTTTCCTCCCATCTGTCACCTGAGGCAGACCAGACCAGACCCCCATCACCCCACCTCCTGTTTGTATACTATTGCAGTAAAGGGCAGTGTTAAAGAGAGAAACAGCATTCTAATAATGCCTACAGCAAAAAGCAGTGTTAATAAAATGGACAGTATAAATGTGTGAAACTGCATTAATATCGATGTGCAGTGTACATTAATTAAAGTATCTGAAAAATACTCTGCAAAAAGCATAGTGCTTAAGCCAAGCTGGTCAAAAGTGAAGATATTTTGCCATCCTAGAGACCTGCAACTCTGCAATTCTTATTCCTGAGAGTCGTTGAAAACCAGGGGAAGGTTCTCCCAAAAAATAAGGTAGCCATGGGTACCAAATTCCACAATATTGAATATGTAATATGATATGCCCAGAGGCTCTGTTAGCAGAAAATTACAGCATTATTCTCCTCTTCCTAGGATGGGGGAAGTTAAAGACAACTCATTATGTAGTGACCTCCATCTGTCTTCCACCGGGCCAGTGCAAGGATTTTTAGTGCTCTAGGCACAAAACCAGTTTACACGTTTGTTTCCTTTCTTTTCTCTTGTTTCTCTCCTTGGTAGTCTTCCTTTAATTCTTTTTCTATTTTTCAATTCTCAATTTCTTAGCTCCTGCTCTATTAATAGCCTTCTAGATCATGCAGCAGGCTTCTGTGTGTGTGATTAAAGGGGCACTATAGGCATCACAAGTAGTTTGGGTGTATAGATCACATCCCTGCAGTCTTACTGCTACATTCTTTGGCATTTTAGAATTAATTAACTTTTGTTTCTCTTTATGCAGTTCTAGCCACATTCCTTCTGTTTTGGTGCCTATAATATCCCATTAACTATAATTTTACACTTCTGTCTCTCCAGTAGTCTATAAATGTATTTGTGGGGGGAGGCTGATGCAAAGATTGTATATAAGTATCTACTGGTTTCTGAGAAACACAGACAAAATAGAACCATGCAAGATCAGACTTTTTTTTGTTGGTGGAAAACCAGCCCTCTTTTTAATAAATCTTATCTAGGACAACTGTACTAATCTCTATATTCTATTAGAGTTCACCTATATGAACAGGAACTTTATTACAGGTGGGGCCGACAATATTTCCTCGATTGTAAGAGATTACAATAGCCCAATTATTTGACTAAAAATTCCTGCAGACTTTGGGACTTACTTAGAGGACCTTATAAGGTGGAAGTATTTTCCATCATTCCTACTTGAATATCAAGTGCACACATGGTAATTGTGCACATGCTTATAGGAAATGCTTGAAAAAGACTCAAGTCAACTTATTACTCAAATTTTCTCCTATTGGTGCTGTTGCTCCCAAATAAAAA